CGCTAGGAGAGACCAGACGCGTCAAGACGCAAGGACCACACAATCCGCTCAATTTGACACAAAACCCGTTCGATACTTTGCGAACCCAGTGAGCGACGCTTCAGGACTCAAGACAAGGAATCCAAATGGTCGACCGCGATTTCAGTTAACGCCGCGACGAGTTCTACGACCTGGAATACATACAATCTACAACAGAACCGACTCAGGACACCCCTTGGACTACCAGTGATACTTCTACAGGATTACCAAGTGCACCACCAATTTTATGCACTTATTGGTTGGTTTTCTATTACTTATTCGACTAATCTATCTATTATTCTTAGAGCATTTAGGACTAAATGCTGGAGGGCGTGTGTAACGATTGCACTCTTGTGCTGAGCGCGCGCAAGCGCGCTCCTTGCTATGAAGGTGTTGTGGGTGCTTGTAGGTGCTTTTTTCGTTATTAGTTAGCCTACTTGTATCCACTACACGTGTAACCGCATATATAAAGAGTCTTCGGGCTAAGGGTTAGGGGATTCTTTTCCCCTTCTCGACGCTCGATTACTGATTACCCCAGTCAGTGTATTGAGTGCGCTGGTAAAGAAGAGAATCTTCCTCATGTAAGGCTATTCTACATATCCTTACATATTTTTGACTGTATAAATCAATCCCCATCGATCCTGCTGGGTCGTGAGCGTTGTCTAGGGTCTGATCAACCCTTGGCATTGTCTCATTGCCTGGCGCGAAGAGCAAGTGAGTTTTGAAAGAGATTTGTAGAGAGAGACAGCAACTACTTACTGGTTGGCCCCCAGTGAGCGAAAATGATCTGGAGCATAGCAAAACGCTTCCTGATCGCAACAAAAACCCCTATCGATACGGTTCGATGTCCTAGACATCGCGAGGACCTTCCCAAGGACGACGTTGAAGACGCTGAGCACACATATCCAGGTTTAGAGAACATAGTGAGTAGTGCTAACACAGATGCTGGACATTTAAACTACCTAGGCACTACTTCCTACCTCAAGACAGTGATTTCGATGCTGAAAGGCAACCTCATCATTCCAGTAAGCTCATATTCGTCTAACAAAGTCCTTACCATTGTCCCAAAGCGCAAGTCCTTGTCCCTTGTGGGCTTAAGGCAAAACCAATCACAATCCAGTGATAAGTCCACGTCTATTGCAGGCCGGTGGCACGCTGATGATCTACCAGGACGTAAGACATTGTCTCTTAGAGGCTGGATGCAACCTGAAGACCAATTACTACTGAAATACCATAGTTACATTCACATAGCAGTACATAGAACAGAGACTGAGCGAATGAGCATGCATATAGGTAGTACAAAGGGTGAAATGCATGCAAACCACACCCAGGATGAGACCAGCGTTAAGCTTTTCGCCAGCGAAGTCTCAGGAAAGAACCATCAGATTGCAGTCAAGGAATCGAGCAATCATGCAAGTGAACAATTAGTACATACAAGAGACAAGAAAGACACAAGCAAGCTTGCATACCAGGACAAAAAGGATCCATTAGTATTGACTGACAAGAGCAAGTATGTTGCTAGAGAGCATCTAACAGTGATTTTGGAATGGCACCCTAGTCCAAAAGAACCCCTCACATCACCAGGAGGTAAGACCTCGATCACAGAAGATTGGAGGCGTCCTGAAGACCTAATCATGAGATATAAGACCTTACCTATCAGAGGCAGAAGGCTTTCGACTTTACTTAGCATACAAGAAAGACAGGTAATGAGTACTGCAAAAGCACATATAGTTAGACAGAAGCACATCATAGGAAGTCCACTCATCATAAGAATAGCTAGCATTGGTACTCAGAGGACTAGCATCAAGGATTCAAGCAGTCGAGTACAGGCAATTGACATTGATGGTTCAGTCAGTCGAGTTCACAGAGAACAAATATATTTAGCTAGCAGCAGTACTCAGGCAATTGCTATCAAGCTTTTTAGCAATTGAGTTCACAGAGAACAGGCGATTAGCTTCAAGGATTCAGTCAATTGATTAATAGAGGCGAACACCAAGAAATCAGTTTGCCAACAAGGATTCAGGCATTGCAACATTACCCTGCATCAAGAGGATTCATTCCAGCAGGTGAAGAGAACGTTCAAAGGTACAAATAGACTAGATACATTAATATATACTAGTAAACTAGTTAGTCCCTTCCATCACAAGATAGACATTGACAACTTGAACAAGAAAACACATAGATTTGATAGAATGTATCAGGAGAAGGAGAAGGAAACTCCTACAACAAACAAAGGCAAAGCCCATTGGAACGTACTAAAGAAACACAGAACGTTACAGGAAAGCAAAGGAAATGATGCCAAACATTCAGCAACAGGCTTAGACAAGAAGCTTGCTACAGGAAATCAGTATTTGCTAACAGAATTGTAAAGTAAACCTGAAGAACAGCTCAGAAATTCGACCAGAAAGAAAGATCCAGGCAAGAATTCCTCAAATCATAGGAAGAAAGCAAAAGCAAACAAGTGCAGAGCTTTAGGCACTAGGAACAATGATCAGACAGCATTGAGAGATTACAGTAAGATTGAATCTGTAGTACAGAGAGCCAAATTCGAAGAGATCGGATTTATTCAAGCATTAGAACATTGGGTAATGACCCCCAGAATTGAGAGTCGCATCAAGACTCCCCAGGCTGTCAACAAAATACCACTTCGTTTCCTACGAAATACACATATCTCAAAGGCAGAAAAGGTAGAGAAGGACTTACCTTACACTATTGGTAAAGGTACAGACGTCAAGAAAGTGCTACAGGTACAGAAGCACACATATAGTCACCTCATTTTGGCAGAACAAGGATTTATGTACACTTGGGTTGCAAGAAGCAATATAAATTCAGATACACCACCTATGAACATCAAACCAGTTTGTATGAACACTCTACATAATAGACATCATGATTCAGAAAGTAAGAAAGAGAGCAAGAATGGAACAGGCAGAAATCACTACAGTACAGTAACTCCTATCAGGCACAACAAGCATAAGAATAGATTCAAGCACAGAAATACAACCACACAAGATACAGGCGAACTACATAGTGCAACTACATTGTGTACAACTATATTCATGCATGGAAAGACTTTAGGTAACATTGCAAGGAAAAGGTACATAGATCGAGTGATATTGAGTACAGAAACTGTAAACTATTGGATCACACATCTAGAAACAGACCAGAACTACCTACCAGACTTGTTTTACTCAGCAAACTTGTTGAAATCAAGTACGAAAGTCAGCAACAATCAAGGAAACATCAGAGATATGGTATCAGAAGCCACAGAGGCTTATACAAGTGAAACTACAGGTACTAAGAGGCTCAAGCGTTCCAAGAGTAGGAAAGGAAACAGAGAATTCCTTAAAGCAGACATACAGATGCAATGCACAACACACATTGTTTCCACAAAAGATCTCAGAGAAACCATTCTTTGGAAATACAGTAAATACATTTCAGAAGTTGGTCAATATGTGAAACAAACAGTTTTACAATGCATTTCTCAAGTGTGAGCAAGAATGGCATACAGTTTCAGCAAAGAAAGTGTTATAGACCATTATCTACAGAGAAACAGTATGAATGATGCTAGGCAGACACCTTTGCTATCTTTGAACAGATTAGATGACGATTATTTCATCAGCAAGATATCAGGAACAGTACCAGAAGAGTTCTACACACAGAGAGGACTCAGAAGCATGCAAGAACACAAATGCCATCCAGAGGAGCAAGATACACTCTCAAGACATGTTTCTACAAGGGAAATGACTAGTCAGGCATGGAATAGACTACATTCCAAGTACAAACGACATTCGCTATTACTTTATTAGAATCTGCACACAGTTTCAGGCAGAAATTTCATTGTTAGGCTCAAAAATACTGAGAAAACAAGTAAAGAACTTGAAATTTCAAGATATGCAAATACCAGACATATATTTTACTCTAAGTACTATGGAGAAGACCTTCAGGAAGACCTACAGTGAAGAAATGCACATAGAAACTACTGGAATAGGCATAAGATTTGATCTAAGGACAAAAAGAATGGTTATAGCAACTATAATCATATCAGGCAGTGTATACAGTCTTACAGCATAAGACTCAGAGTGAGCAGCGAACCAGAAGACTTCAAATTGAATTGTACAGACTACAATGGGCATACACATGACAAGAATACAGGAATTGGTCTCACAGGCATTCAAAGGCACATACAAGAAGAATCAGGCTATGTACTAGAGAAAGTACAATGTTTCAATCAAAAGCAAGACTTGTATTATGTCACAAATGGTCGTACACATAGTACAGAAAGAGCTCAGTATATCTCAGAAGCTGGATTACCTTCAGAGAACTTGGAAATCGATTATGCTACACTAGGAAGGAGTACAAGAATGCTAGGAAATGGAAGCTATTAGAATTCGAGTATGAACAGTTATACGAACATTCCACCATTTTCTATATTTCAAATATATCCACTGGTACGGCAGGCATGCTCTACAGACAGTGAGTATGAATTGAGAACTCCAGAGGAAGACTTATACATGTTTAGCAAAGAATTCAACACTCTACAACAGGTATCAGGCATAGGAAAGTATGATTCAAGACTGTCATTATGCTCAGACTACATAGAAGTACAGATTCTATTCGTATATACTCTAGCAAGAGTAAAAGAGTATTCGATACAAAGATACAGACACAGGAACAGATGTTTCCACTGTAACAATGAAGAAACAGTATGTTTTGGCACACAGAGATGCTTTGAGAAAGGAATATTATATCTTCTGGATTGGAAATGTGACAAGACACTCAGGAGTCAACATCAGCATGATATATTCTATATACCTAGGCACTCAGAGACGCATTTAATGAGTAAATACTATTGCAAGCAAGCAAATGAGTACTCATTTGAGGACAAGAACACTTTTTTACAGTATATTGACACAGTACAACAGTATATTTCATTCAGGAACACGTCATATTCATCCATGGACATAACTGATGATTGGAGAACCTTAGCACCAGAGAACAATTTCAATCCTGAATTGTTTGAGTGTATACATGAGCTTTTAGTCAATAAGAAATACCTATCACATGATGATGCATACAGCTGCACATGCAACTACTCATGCAGATCAGTATATCACACATATATGCACCTAATAGCCACATATTTCAGCAATTTTGACACAGTTGAACATTATACAGTGTATACAAAGGATCATAAGGTATTTGTGATAAATTCCGCAGGATCTACAGTTGGAATTAGCAACAAAATCATGACAGTAACAATGAATACTTTAGTACTAGTAGATTTCACACACACTAGAGTTGCAGACCGAATTAGCGTTAGAAAAGTCATTCTAGGCAAAACACTACTTACTCAATTGAGAGTACACAGGTCAGGATCAAGGATAAACTACTGTACCATTGTGAGAATGAAATACAGCTCAAGGAAATTGATACAGTACTTTGATATCAGGCAGTTGGATAACTGTAATATTATACTAGGAACAGTGATTCTTATTCAGCACAACATTTCTACAGGATTTGATACATCTATACTATGGATTAACAGTGCAATACGTCTATCAAAGACAGGAGAACAAGTCTCAGAGGCATACATCAAGGATATCAACAGTTTCAATTGAGAAACTAAGGAACTTGCACAGGTAATTGACAATTGCAATACAGAATTGTATCAGGAAATAGTGGACATGCTACAACTACCTCTCAGAGTCATCAGACAGATGAAATTGCTCAGTAATAAGGACAAAGAATGTCAGTTTCGCAGAGAAATACACTAGGATACTTGGCAAAAACAATTGCAATTCAAGAGAAAGTATCATATCTACACCAGAAGATTCAGTATCACTACAGAATTGAAAGTAATGACCATGCTACTGCTTCAGAAGCTCAGAAAGATCATAGAAGACCCTATAGGACTAAGAACAGTCAGTAATCTCACAGAGCAAAGCAAGGAAACCAAGGAATATTTGTTTCTATCATTAGATATTGGATTTACTAGGCATTCAGCATACAATGGACCTCAGGAGACACATTTCGTTCGGAAAATCAATACCAAAGTATCAGAATATGTATCAGGATATTCAGTACTCATCGAAAGACAGACTAGTTGTCTAAGAATTGTCATGGCATTCGAGAACATTGAGAGATACAATCTACAGGATATTAAGGCTACAGTACACACGTTAGCATACAAGGACTTAGTAATTATACAAACGACAACTTGATACATAGAGAATTATACTTTGAAATATAGTGACAATGACCTAGAAAGGTTATATCAGACACAGACTAGCATATCTCAGCTTTTAGAAAGAAAATACAGCACATATATCAAGCATAGGACCAGTTTCCTTTGGAAAACATTGCTAGAAGACACAATAGTAGTACATCCACATAGTAGAAAGGTCAGAACAATTTGCAAAGGTATAGAATTGGACCTCCAAACAGAGGGCGAGTCTACTAGGAGTACCATACATTGACTCAAGGCACTAGACAAAGTGAAAGTACTCAGCAAGTTGGATATTCAGTAGACAATACCAGAAACGTCACCCCAGAGCAATGAACAATCAAATTTACAAGAATTCATTCAATTGGCACACAAATTGGATACGAAAATTGACAGACAGGTATTTGAACATTATGAGAATAGTATTATCATTGAGGAACATGAGTAATAGAATTCAGTATTCGAAAGCAACACAGAGGAAACGCAATACTAGAATGTATCACAGAATATGGACAATATAGCTCAATTACCATTGGAAACAGACTTTGCACAAGGTTTCAAATACTGAAATCATGAAGGAAACCCATTCAGACATTGAATATTAGATTCAGAACAAATTCAGAGATCCTACAACGAAAATGCATTCATATTTCACTAGGAGGGTGAGAGGTACATACTTCAGCATACATTTTGCATTACCAGGACTCCACTACATGTCAGGAATGCTAGCAAAAGCACAGGAAGACTTGAATATTTGTTTCAAGCACACAGTACGTTTAGGAATACATTTGCATATCACAGAGAATGACTGCACTATGAGAATACAATTGTGAGCAATGATTTCAATCGCAACCTGTGTCAGAAGCATAGGATTGACAAACCAGACAACAGGAGAACGATTGCTTCAATACACACCATTCTACTACTCAGTAGACCTCAAAATTACAAAGTTAAGTATTTGAGAAGACCTACTTCAAGACTTAGAAGTTACCCAGGACTTTCAGACAGAGTTAGTTTTGCTATTTGTTTAGTAAAATTCACAGCACACACGATTTTACCAAGTCAGGCACATAGAACAAAGAGAACATCATGAATTGACTTTGAATTTGTCTACAAGCTTCAGAGAATACAGGACTACATTGTCAGCAATAGATATTCGCTATTCAGGACCATCTATTCAAGACGAAAGCAAGAACTTATTGGCTTTACATGAGAATTATCAACAGTATATAGTCTACAGACAAAACAATTAGCTATAAGAAGGAACAGATCAATTGCACAGTTATGCACACAGTGCATTCCGACAGAACAGAAAGTCAGGACTTATACTCAAGATATTAATGAGTATTCAGACACAATTGTAAGATCAGAAAGTACAAAATGCATGTTGATATCAATAAACTACAGCCACAAGACAAGATATTCAATACAGAATGGATTCAGGACAGGTAATTGTACCAGAAACAGGACTTATGGTCAGACAACAGAGCATACAGAATTATGGGCAATCAATACAATGCTTCAGAGGAGAGATAAGTCGAATAGACAGACTTGTGAACATTGTACAACATTGATATTCGATCTACACAATCCAGGACATACTTCCATTGAGATTATGGAACTACAGGTATACAGAGCAACAATGCTATTACCTAGGTACACAAGTACTTACAGAATCGTCAGGAATATAAAGTACAAGACACTAGAGAGATATTTGCTAAGAGAAAGAACATTGCACTATTGCTATCAAGTATTACTTTCAATACTATTGCACATACACAGACCTAACGAAAGCGAACTGTTTCAAGAAAGAGAAACAGTACAAGACATTGGTTCTAAGGAAAGAAACCAGGAAATAATGCATACAGGCAAGGATACGAACGCTTGGTTGAAAGCAAGATGGAATACAAACAGACATAGATTGAGATTCCATGAGACGATCGCGCAGTTCAAAGCACTACAGGATTACTTGGAGATACAGATACACGCTACTGTCGATACATCATCTTCACAACTAGGAATACTTGATACTATGGATATTCGAACGAACAACAATCCATCAAGACACAAGGTAGCACAGCAGACACAGGAATACAGTATGGAAATGTAGGAAGAACTATCCAAAACGTTGGAAACGAGCACATATAGTCAGTTTTACAAGGTTATCAGTGATATTTTAAGCAATTCAAGCAGGGAACACATTGTATTATCACTGGAAGGCAAAGGTAATACACCTTATTAGCATTAGACATTGTTAGTGTCATCAATTAGGACCAGGAGACACACAATAGACCAGTACAAGTCTATTAACAAATTTGATACTACCATTAACTATGTTTTCGAGTGCAAAGGACTACAGAACACTACTTTACTCCTTAGAAATACACAGGATACTTCCCCAGACGCCGCTATTCATCTATTAGGACATCAGGCTACTATCCTACAGGAATACCAACTTCGACGACCCTTACGTTTGATAGCGAACTCGCTATTACGTTTTCGATACCAGGGCAAGTACGCTAGGAGAGACCAGACGCGTCAAGACGCAAGGACCACACAATCCGCTCAATTTGACACAAAACCCGTTCGATACTTTGCGAACCCAGTGAGCGACGCTTCAGGACTCAAGACAAGGAATCCAAATGGTCGACCGCGATTTCAGTTAACGCCGCGACGAGTTCTACGACCTGGAATACATACAATCTACAACAGAACCGACTCAGGACACCCCTTGGACTACCAGTGATACTTCTACAGGATTACCAAGTGCACCACCAATTTTATGCACTTATTGGTTGGTTTTCTATTACTTATTCGACTAATCTATCTATTATTCTTAGAAGCTATT